CTGTACATGAGTAAGACTATTCAGTGGGTACTTATTGATGTGACTATTTAGTATATCATAGTGCTTGTTTGGTAAGGATTTTGGTGGAAGAATTGATTTTTGGATAGTGATATGATGGGAAATGTGTGGTTGAAAAAGAAAAAAATTATTGATGTGATGGAAAATATTATTTTATTGAAAAATGTGTGGTTGAAAATGAGAATTGATTTGCTGTAGAATTTGAAAATAAAAAACAAACACCCCCATACGATTTTAATTTATAAAAATAACAGTTTTTTGTTGATACCAGATTTTTTATACTCGATATATTTTACGGTTGGTTATTCTAAATAAAGAGTAAGAATTTTACGATTTTAGCATATTTCAGTTCTAGAAGAAATTATCAGAATTTAGAATTTCTTAAAATTGTAAGAAAATAAATCAGATTTTTTCAGTAAATATGTATAAATAGAAAAATTATATGTATTTGCGAGTCCATCCACTCACTGACTTACAAGCTTATAGATTTTGTTACATTTTTCCTTAACAAGTAGTAGCTGAGTTGAGCAACTTTGTAACTTGTTGATCCATCGAGTTGAGTTACACACATTGTCATTAGCTGTATGACTCATTTTGTTAGTTTATTTAGTTCATATTTGTTTTGGGGGTACATGTAACTTTTCTCAGAAAAGTTTATCATTGGCTCACTGCATATTTGGTATTTTTAATACATTTGGGGGCTTTTAGTTGTAAAGTATAGTAAATATCGAGTTGTCGGCATTTTATAGTTGAGTTTTTGAGGGATTGGCGTACCTTGTTTTAAATTATATGTACTCGTTTGAGGAAATTGATTATTGTTCAGTTGGTTTTAGTCCTTATTGCAAATGAAACTCTGTCAATTTTTTTTTATAAAAGTATGTCACAGTCAAAGTAGGTCATAGTCGCCTTGATGATGGGACATACATTTAGCTGGTATTTAACATCGGCGCACGGCACGTGTCGGGTCCATTAGGGTGATTTGGAACGGGTCGTGTCAGTCCTAGTAACAGTTTGGACATCTCATGCCACCCCAACCCCTCTTGAAGTGGGGAATTTCATGCATAATGTTATATTGAGGTGGTGGCCTTTAGTTGGTGTAATATTGGTCTTCTCAGGATTGCATTGTAGTTGGAGGGTAAATCAGCAATTTTAAAAATCTGTGATAGTTCTCCGTTAACTCTGAGGGCGATCGGATCTTTCATCTTGACTGGATCACTTGTAAAACCTTGCAATAGCCTGGGTAAGGACGAAGGTGTTTTTTGTAAAATCCCTCTTCGTTCCAAGGTCTTTTGAGTATAATATATTGACAAAAGAAATGGGTTAAAATCCCCACTTTGGGCTGGGCAGGTCGAGTAGGTTGGAAAAGAGGAGGTGGCTGAGTGTTAAATATGCCATTCTTGAAATTTGTTCTACTAAGATAGACTTCCCTCTGGGTGGTCACCATCCCTTTAGGAGACACTACACTTCTTACCGAAGTGAGGTTTTAGCGTATCTTCGACTTTGAATAGAATTTCGAATTAGTATTATTGAAGAATATATTAGTTTCTATTTATAATAATTGATGTCGAGGATTTTGGAGGGGTCAAATGTTCATCCAATTAGGACTGAGTAAAATCGCCAAACTGAAAAATCGATATTGAAACTGTTGATTTGATACTATGTGGATCCATTAACGCTACAATTTTGAAACAAGTCAAACCGTTGGTTAGATTTTCAGAATCTTAAAGCCAGATTGAAATTAGATCGAGTTGTTTTAAATATAGAAATGCAAATATTTCTTTATTATTTTTGGCCAAATATGAGACTGATAAATTACAATCTTAACCTTCAAAATAAAATATAGCTATTAAACTTTAACATAAAAAATCGATCATTTGGTTAATTGTCCATTACCAAATACCAAATTTTTTGTTAATTATCCTAATTTCATGACCCTATCATTGAAACTTTTATTTGATTTTGTCGGTATTAAAATTTACAATTTGATAGTTTTGTTATCATCAAGAAATAATGAAAATATTAAGATATATAAATTTTTTTGTCATCAATAAAGTATGAAAGAAAGTTTATAGTTATCGAACTAGTGACGATAAAGTGAAAATGAAGAAAAAAATACGCAATCAATTTGAGATTTAAAACCGAAACAACCTTTAGGTGAAGTTTGAGAAAATTTCAAACCGTTTAAAAGGACTTAGTTTGAACATTTGTCAAAAATCGACGAAATCGGACCAGTTACACATCCCTACCAAAGGATTTTTTGGAACCCACAAGCCATAGTGCTATTGAAGGATTTTCATAAATAATAATAATAATAATAATAATAATAATAATAATAATTTATAAAAAGGCAGATGAAAGAAAGAAAAGAAAGGTGATAATCTGATTTTATCGCGTCTTGAATATTTCAAGTCATGTGAGTACTACTTTATTTTTTCTCTTTTATTTGAATATTTGTTAAAAGTATTGTCATAAAGTTATATGAAGGAAGTCTATTTTCTCTTCATATTTTAGGGCACATAGTATATTCCTTTTGGATGTCTGAATTTCATAATTTTCCAATTATTCCAAGTATTTTCTCTTGTTTCTTCTAATTAATTCCTTTATTTGTTAAAAACATAAGCGCAGGACATAAACCGAGTAATCCACGGATGATAGGTCACAAATGATCACATAGATATTTGAAAATACAATCTTTCTACATATATCTCAAAGTTTGACATCATTGTCAACAATGACAAAATAACATAATACTAGGATTTGCTAAAACAAATTAGACTTACCAAGTGTTATTGAAATTATACAACTTTCAAACACAAGACAGCTTTAAAATAACAAATGTAAACTTAGACAACGCAAGAAAATAAAACAGAAATCAAACAATTCAACTTCCATTATCGTATGAACATACTTGAGAGTAGCCCTTAAACAAAATTCATCTAAATGAACAATAGAGATGTAAAAAGCACAAATATAATAATATAATACACATTTATGTATATGAAGAAAAATAAAAGAGTAATATACTGTTTGAGGCCATGGCGAAAACAAATAAACTTCCTTTGCTCTGCTTGTGCTGTAAATTCAACAGCTTTGGGTTGAGGTAAGTCTCGTGCTTCCAAAAAAATCAGAAATTGAAGAAGTTATAGCTTGAATTCTTTTAACATTACAACTCTTCCGATGTTGTCTAGTGCGACAGCAACCTCCTCGATGAACCGCTAAAATTGCAGAGTGAAGAAGCATTAGCGACGGCCGTTGATGAAATTTCCATCACTGATTCCACCATTCCTTACCCACAGAATTACACACACAGAGAGTTCTTCGACGGGAGCAATCAGCAATGGAATCGGAACAGACATCAACGATTTTCCAAGTGAAGGGAAGAAGGGTTTTATTTTCCAACGAGTTCTTCTTCTGATTCAATAAAATTTCTACAAAGGACAACAGGGTTGGAGCAGGTAAAATCCAAAAAAAAAAAAAAAATCAATTTTGAAAAAGTTGGTGGGTCATGGCCCACTATGCATCCGCTAGTGATCGTGAGATGGTGTTTTTATATATTGATTTTACAGTAAAACTAAATGTACACATTTGATTCGTATTAAATTTTACATTTTCCTCGCATAGAGGTGGGATCCGCGATTGTGCGCCCCACCCCCATGTGAAGGGGATGTGAAATTTAATGTGAACTAAGCGTGTACATCTAGCATGGTTCTTGATTTTAATAACACTTTAAACAATTAATGATACAAATTTTACCACATCTTCGGGTGTATAAGTGTACAACAAGTTTAATTCTTGAAATAAGGTTTTTCATTTCAAAATGATTCTTGTATACCAAAACCATGAACACGTAGATGGCAATAATTTAGAAAATTACCAAAATTTTTTAAAAAACTACCTCTAATCATTTTAGAGAGTGTCCTCAATCACCTTTAATGGGTTTGAATAGAATTTCCCATAATTAATAAGATTTTAACAAAATTAAATTTTTAGAATTTAATGAATTTAGTTGCATTTCTTACTATTACGACAAAAAGACATATAATTTTTGATCGTTTAATTATTAATAACATTGTTTAGTTCTCAATGAGATCATAAAGTTTCTTGTGTATTTATGTTCATTTTTGAACATTAGTTCCACTTGTTAGTTATTGTGGCCCAATCCTAAACAATAGTAGGCATTGCCATTTTTGTTGCGCACAATAAATGGTTGCATAGTTGTTAAGTTACTCATCATAGCAATTTAAATGAATATTTTATAAACTATGATGTGATGATATGTTAATGCCAAAATTCTCCAAAACGTTCCATGCATTGCCAACTATTTGCACGGTAATATACATAATATTTCTCGATCACCATGAAAATCAGTTAATTGAAGGTGTTCTTATACTTAACTCAGGTGGTGTTGTGTGGAAGAAACTTGACACAATTCTGGTTAACTCAAGCTCAAGAGTTATAGGAATATACGATTTATTTATTACTTTCAGACAAATAAAAATTTGATAAAATTGATTCTATACTTAGTATAGCAATTGATCGATCGTGCTTTGAGTATTTTTGGCCGATTTTTGTAAAAACAGTCAAAATTCATTAAAAAAACCATTTTAGGATTGGAAATATCCAATCCAAGTCATGGCAGAGGGAAATTGGCAAAAACTGAAAAACTCAAAAAAAAAAGTTCCCACAAAAATCAGCCAAAATTCATTAAAAAAACCATTTTAGGATTGGAAATATCCAATCCAAGTCAAGGTAGAGGGAAATTGGCAAAAACTGAAAAACTCAAAAAAAAAAGTTCCCACCTTTCCCTAAATTTACTCTTTTCAAGTCCCCGCCAAACACCTCCCTACATCTCGCCACCCTAACCACCCCACCCACCCCAACCCCCATATTTAAACAGTCTCCTCGCCGACTGAGCCCTTCATTCCCATTTCACTTTACTCTTTACACAATCTCCATTCTTCGGCAGGTAGCAGCAATCACCAATGGCCAACGTCAGCGACCTCCCCTGCGACGCCGAGGGAGTCTGCATGGTGTGCAATAAGAAGGCACCTGATGGCGAGACCCTCAACTGCAAAACTTGTGTCACTCCCTGGCACAGCACTTGCCTCTCCGTCCCTCTCAAAACCCTAGCCGATGCTGCCCAGTGGGAGTGTCCAGACTGCTCCTTCACCGCCGATCCAACGGGTGGTGCCACCGTCAAGTTGTCGATCTCCGGCGGAGACCTGGTGGAGAAGATCCGGGCGATCGAGTCCAATCCGTCGCTGACTGATCGCGAGAAGGCCAAGCGACGCCAGGAGCTGCTGAGCGGAGAAGCTAAATCAGCGTCTCCAGAGTGCCCGAATCAAGAGCAAAAGAAGTCCAATGGCGGGACTAACGAGGGGTTGACCATTCTTGGCGACAAGCTCAACTGCTCCATCTGCATGCAGCTTCTCGATAGACCTGTCTCTGTATGATTTCTCTCTCTATGAATTCACATTTCTGTGCGAACATGTTTGTCTTGATGTTTAGGTAGTTATGTATGATCCAGAAAACTTTTTACTTTATGCATATCGCTTGACTTTGATGTGGAGAATATGCTGAACTTTTGAGCAGGGTGTATTTTTAAAATTGTTCTCGGAGTTGACCATGATATCCTCAAACGATGTTAGTCAACCGGATATTCTTTCCCCTTTCCATTTTACTATTTAAAGGAAATGGGTTTCGATTCTTCCAGTTTCTATCTGTATCCAATATTTTTATTTTGAAATTAGGCATTTGTGCGTGATCATCAAATGGGGAAAAAAAATGCAAACTACTTGAGTTCTCATAATACTTGATTGGTCACAAGCTTAGAATTTTGGAATTGGAGTGTGATTTAGTGTGAGAACAGTGGAGAAGTCCTTGTTTCACAATGGTACAGTGACTTTTTCTTAAAGTGAATAGTTTTGTATCTAATCGAGATTACTTTTAATTTGATTACTGTCATCATAAGCGTGAATGCCTAAATGAAACTAAGGATATTGATGAATTTATATCTTCAATTTTGCATGCCTCAATTTGGATAACATTGGATATCTCAAAGAATTCCTTTCATGGAAATTCTCTGTATTTTACTGCAAACTTCTTTGTTTCTACTTTCGGACCATAATGATTTTTATTGAATTGTCATTTTACATTAATGGCCATTGCTGAATATAGTTGTAACATTCATATTTAGCTTTACAACCTGTTTTCTAGACTTAGAGTAAGGCAAGTCACTTAATATAAGACCATGTATAGCAGTCTTTCTCACTTTTGTTGCGCTGAGTAACTGAATTGGTCCCATTGTTCATGTACTTGTATTGAAGGTTCTTGAATGAATGGAAAGGGTCACATGAAAAAATGGATTCAGAAAAAGTCCATCTTTGTATGTATGTGTACGAATACTTGCATGGATTGATTGTTTCATCCATTCCTACACAAACTACTGCAATTCTTTTTGTTTCATGTAAGCAGAAGATGTCTTTTGTGACAATTGTCTGATGTGGACAGTATCAAGTGTTTCAATATTGGTATTATTCATATTACGTAGATATAAAGGATGACTTTTCTCCAGGAAGTAAATATGACTGTCATACTCTAGCACATGGACAAGACACGTGGTTCTCATGTGAACTGAATTCCCAGGTCTTTTATTAGTCACAAGTAATCAGGTTTCTGGTGTGCACGTTCTGTTTCAGGAAATTCTGATTCTTCCAGCTAACTTATAGTAGGTTTATTATTGCTGCACCACGTCCTCTATAGCTGAGTAAATGCTCATTATGGTTTGATTTCCATATTAGGGTTATAATGAAAATGTTTACAGCGAACTTGACAAAGCCTCATCCCAAATTGATATAGAAACCTTTTATGCCTTTTTTGTCTACCAATATATTGGTTAGGCATTAAATGTTAACCAGTTTTTGATAATTGAATGGATGAATTTGACTGTTTCGTAAACAAATATATAATTTTCTCGCTTAAGAAGGGGTTCAAAATATTTAAACTGGTTTTTAGAGATTGGAATTAACATAGCTTTCTCATTTCTTGCTTTAGACACCATGTGGCCATAATTTTTGCTTGAAGTGCTTCCAGAAATGGGTAGGTCAGGGGAAGCTCACTTGTGCCATTTGTCGCAAGTTGATTCCATCCAAGATGGCAAGGGAGCCCCGTATAAACTCTGCTATTGTTATGGCCATTCGAAATGCCAAAATGTCCCAGTCTAATGTTTCAGGGGGTGTTCCACGGGTCAACCATTTTGTTCACAACAAAGATCGACCCGACAAAGCATACACCACTGAGCGAGCAAAAAAATCTGGAAAGGCTAATGCCTGCAGTGGGAAGATTTTTGTTACAGTTCCTCTTGATCATTTTGGTCCAATTACAGCAGAGCATGATCCAGAAAGAAATTTGGGTGTGTTGGTTGGTGAGACCTGGGAAGATAGGATGGAATGCAGGCAGTGGGGGGCTCACTTTACCCATGTTGCTGGGATTGCTGGGCAGTCAGAGTATGGAGCACAGTCTGTTGCACTATCAGGAGGTTATGAAGACGATGAGGACCATGGCGAATGGTTTCTTTATACTGGAAGGTATACTCTAATGCTGTCAATTTGTGCTGTGCTGTGCTGTGTTTAGTGTAATATACTGACCAAATTCGATGTGTTTCACTTGGTTTTATTGCTATCTGGATGTAGACCAATATGATTGAACCATGTGAATTTTTCTGTCTTCTGTTTCATCTTTTTGTATTCACTTTGGTATCGATGGATATTACTTAGGTTTTGTGGAACTCATGTACCTAGCTATTTCCGTGTCGTCGTGTTCTGAATACTTTCCATATAGGTGACACATGATTTTGGGTGATTGGAATGCTTTAAGGTTCTATCTGTGTCAATTTTTTCCATCTTTGAGATTGGATTTTGCAGTAGCCCTTTGCCAGTGTCCATGTCATCTGGGAACTGTGGAGTTACCTGGAAAAATTTATGCTAATTTTACCATACTAGTTCTTTTATATGGTTGAAGTGTCACTGAGTTTGTCACCATTGAGGAGCAATATTGATGATGTTTAATGCCCCGTTCGAGTTGCTTCTTAATGACTCCAAATATGTTTTTCCTGCCATGGAAAGAATCACTGCGAATGCACCTGAAGTTAAATCAACATATTATAAATTGCTAGTGATGTGCATTCGTGGCTGTCCATACATTCACCACCTATTGCTCATTGATTCATTACAATTTTTCAGTCTGGGCAATCCCTTTGGATATTTCTCTTTCTAATTTGTTTTCTTGATCGCTGGTGGCAGTGGTGGAAGAGACCTTAGTGGGAATAAAAGGACGAACAAGAAACAGTCATTTGACCAGAAGTTTGATAAAAGCAATGAAGCCTTACGAGTTAGTTGCAAAAATGGTTATCCTGTCCGAGTTGTAAGGTATTCTGATATTTCTATTTGAAAAGCAATTAAGAATATAAACGAATGTCATGTATTTCACCCTATATATTCATAACTGATCAAGGAAAAGTACATTTTGATAGTTTGCTAGAATGTGTGGGTTTGACCATCATATGGTGTTCATTTTATGAAGTCTTATTTATGAGAGCAAATGAATGTTGGTGATGACATTGACTAGGTTCCTTCTCATGTTCTCGTGTCCATTCAAGTAAGTGTATGTAGCTGTGTGTGCTTTGCCATATATTATGCTTAATTTCAAAGGATTGCATTTATTGGCTTGGAACATGCTAAATCTTTGAAAGGGAAAGAGAATGTCAGACTATTCTTCTTTCTTTTCCAATGCAGCTTTTTATTTCCACATGGATCTGATAATAGAAAATGGAACTAATATTTCCTCTTCTGGAATTAGGTCTAGCATTATTTTATTTGCTTGTGAATTACTCCATTTGGTGATCTTAGGTTTTCATTAAAACCTTTAAATGCTCCCAGTTATGTGCAGCCAATACATGACTATATGTCCTACAGTGAAATGCTCAATTAGTGCCTCCATTACTAGGTTAATGTATCTTGTAAGTTGTTTTTTTGGCTATCGATTTCAACAAAGGTATCACTTGGTGGTTTAGAAGTTTATTTTTCCCTTTTTTTGTTTCCTATTGCCTGTCCTTAATCTTATACTTTTATCTTTTTTTAATGGGCAGGTCTCATAAGGAGAAACGTTCTTCTTATGCGCCACAGGAAGGTGTACGTTATGATGGGATATATAGGATTGAAAAATGTTGGCGCAAGGCTGGAATCCAAGTAGGGATTTGCTTCTGAAAGAATTTGTCACCTTTTGTGCTCAATATGTTCTCTGACTGCTTTCCTTTCACTTGATATAGGGATTTAAGGTGTGTCGTTATCTGTTCGTACGTTGTGAGAATGATCCTGCACCATGGACAAGGTTTACTATTTCTAGCATTGCACCATCTCATCCACCTCCTACATGCAACCTTTTTTGCATGCTTAGTTTATAATTTATCGTTATTTTCTCCAGTGACAATCATGGTGATTGCCCAAGAGAGCTGCCTGCTGTCGAGGAATTAAAGCATGCTACTGACATTACAGAGAGAAAAAAGAGTCCTGCCTGGGATTTCGATGTCAGAAGCTATATTCTTCACTTATGGTTTATCTTTACCAATTTCTTTTTTATTGTGTGGTGACATCTGCATGAATCTGTTGCCCCGTGGCCATTCAGATCTGTTTAATTCCTTTTATGTTAAGATGCCACTTCTTGAGATATTCAATTTTCTAGCGATCTCAGCTGTCTACTTTTTGCAATACACAGGAGGGACAGGGTCGTTGGATTTGGAAAAAGCCTCCACCAGAAAGTCGTAAAATTCCTGACGTTTATGATGAGGAAGGTAAGAGCAAAAAGAAAGCAAGACGTCAAAAAGGAAACGTGTCAGTTAAAGAAAGGCTTTTGAAAGGTATTCTTCTTGTTACATGTGCATTTCTTTGGAATTAAAAGCTATCCCATGGGGAGGTTTCTGAATTGCACCATGTGTGAATGTGGCTTCATAATCTTTATGTATACATATCGTGTTTCTCAAGACTGCAACTCATGATACAGAATTTGGCTGCCTCATCTGCCGGAAAGTAATGGTGCTTCCACTTACTACTCCTTGTGCTCATAACTTCTGCAAGGCGTGCTTAGAGAATGCCTTTGCTGGCCAATCTTTCATTAAGCAGAGGACATGTGGAGGTACAAGGACACTCCGAACACAAAAAAATGTTATGAAATGCCCATCGTGCACCAATGATGTGTCTGATTTTCTTCAGAACCCCCAGGTACAAATTGCCAAATTTCTTTCTCATGTAAATTTTGAATTGTTGCTATTATGTACAACACCTTATGTATGCGAGGAACATATTGTTCCCCTAGTTTTCTTAAGTGATGTATACCAGCAAATTACAGTCGACTGTCCATGCAATTGGGGTCATATATTGATTTTGAGTCATTTGTGCAAGGACTATTTATTTCGAGATGTATGAATCAGAAATGTGCACTCACCAAAATGTGATTTTGCAACAGGTCAATAGGGAGTTGATGAATTTGATTGAATCACTACAGAGCCAGATGAAGGAGGAAAACATGGAATCTGAAGAAATTGATGATGGTGCAGATGAGGAAGATGATGAGTTGTGTGATGAAACTGATGCTTGTATAGAAGTGGACATGGGGAAAGAAACTGATGGCACAGATGGAAAATCAAACATTGGTGCTGAAAATAAGAACTGTGATGCAAGTGCAGAAATTCTAATGGAAGAGAAGGATGAGAAAGAAGGCAGTAAACCTTTGATCGACACCGACCCCCAGCCACCTATTGGAAAGGAAGCCCCAGACAGGCATGATGCTGTCAGTGATGACCAAGAAGCTGATGTTGCCAGAGGTGAAATGCCCAAAAGAAGAAACAAGCGAAAGAGTGCTGCTGGTGAAGAGGCTCGCTCATTGGCTCCCAACGTGGGCAAGAAGAGAAGAGGCAACAAAGGTTAAACAAAAAATGATTACTTAATCTGCTATCTCGTTCTCTCACCTTTGTCTTTTTCTTCATTACAACCTTCCCCCCTTTTTTTTGGATGACTTGTTGGCCTGGAATCAAGTTCCGTTGGGCGTTGGAGGGGGGTTTTGGGTTACATAAGTTTTCTGTGGCAGGATTAAGGTTTAAACTGACTTTTTGGGACTATAGTTGTCTATATGGAGATGTACTGCCCATCTGTATTTTCCTATGGATTATGATGTTAATAGGATTTTAAAAATACAGTAAACAGATTCTGTCTGCTTTTGAATTGCCAGTTTATGTGCAAGTCTTTTTGTTTTTGGAAGCATGTTGTGCCAACTCTTTGAAATCATTCCCGGCACGCCTGATATTTGTTGCAAGGCTGCTTGCTTGCATTTTTGGTCTTGTTTTATCTATTTTTCAGCTGTACTACCTGTTATGGTTATGTGACATTCAAGACGTGATACGTCCGTGCAATTATGATAAGACTCGCATGTACCAAGAAGCTTTCTTATTATTGTAAACAAATCTATGTGCAATATTCCATCTTTAGTTTACAGAAACAGCTGCTGATGAGGACATCTGCTAGCCTTTTTTACACCGCCATTCTGATGGTCCACATGGATAACAAATTCAAAGCAACATAATGCAGTTCCTGCCTGCCTTCAACCAGAAATTTGTCAACAGCTCGTTTAGTTTTGTGGCATCTGAAAAAAAATTAACCAAAATGTAATAAATATCAAGTAGATAGAGTGCCATTCACACGCCCAAAAAAGAATTTTGCTCCAAGTACAGGGGCTTGTCAGGCCACTCACACTGGCGGGCCCCACATGTTTTTAAAAAAAAAAAAAAAAATACACCTAATGAGTGGCCTACCAGTGAACCCCCCTCCCCCCGCCCCCCGGTCTTGTACGTGTAGCATCACTGCCCAAAAAAAGCCACTTCTGCTCCATTATCAATCAGGCCATTCTGTATATCCACAGAAGTGTCCAGAAAAAAAATAAAATAAAAAATCGAAGTTGAAGATGAAGTTCGTTGTAATTTGTAAAAGAACAAGTTTGTTTTTCAAAACTTGATGCACACGTGTATGTGTACTCTGTGCCATTACTTGAAAGGGTTTAGCCATATATTGCAATTTCTAGCATTAAGAGGAAATGCAATGACAAATTGCAAATTGAGACAAGCTAGAGCCATTGGGCTAAAGTCTTCTCTTCCCCAATGGTTGAGCAAGAGCTGTTGAATCAAGAAAATAAGTCCACGAGCTTGTGCTCCTTTTAGCGAAGACTAAAGATAGGCAAGGGTAATAAAAGCTAAGAGGTTCTCTGAAGAAAATGGTGAACCATCCCCTTTTCAATGTGACAGAAATCGTTATTGAAACACACATGGGTAAATGTGTAAAAAGCAGTACCTCTAATCCAATGAATAACACACGAATCAATAACAGAATTAGTTATCAATCCATCACTAAGCGACTCTCACCTATTGTTTTTTAGAATGACTCAATTGCTCTAAAACCTCCAAGGAAATCTATAAACATTCCTGTCCAAGAGAAGGAAAGCATGAAATTCAAATCTCTGTCTCTCTCAAATAGCAATTGCCCCTCTTACTCCTATCTGAGCATCAAAATCAAATAGTATAGGTGGATAAAATATTGGTTAGGTGAGAAAAAAATTGTTAATTATAAATCTGTAGTCAAAAAATTGTCGCCGCCTATGGGAATTTGAGCATAGAAACCACTAATCCATCAATTAAAGTTGAGAAATCCTTGAAATATGCGGAAAAAAAGAAAAAAGAAGAAGAAAAAGAGCCAAATAGAGGCAAATTCGGAAGAAATGAAAGCGCTGGAAGTTGAAGCGAAAGAGCATAACAACCAACAACGATCCAGTGAACAGTGATGTGAATTCGAAACAACAGTAGGAAGAAACACTGACAAAGTTTTAGGTCAACATTTCTCCCACTCAACACCATCACTTACGGAAGAAGATGTCCACATCGAAAATTATACAAGGAATGAAGGAAAGCCTCGAGAAACTAACAGCAGAGAATGCATCTCTACGTGCAAGGTTTGAAAATTTGAGAGCGAGTTTGCAAGGTGAATCCAATGAGAATGAATTGAAGCACGTTACCTGCTTTTTTTGGTAAAAACAGTGGCAACCTACAAGCATTAAAAACCTATGATAGTATGTTGGAAAGGAAGTGGAAGGAGTGGCATATGAATAAATCCGCCTTGGAAAGGTTTGCAGATGAGGTGAACTCTCATGACATGAACTACTACCAACGCTATTATTGTGAAGGTCGGAGAGTGGAAAGCCTAATCAACACTTCATATAAAACTTCTATGTATAAGAAATATGAAGACCTGCCATTAAGATCATATAAGCTGGATGGTGACAATGACCACTTGCCATTCTTAAAAGAAATTAAAGAAGAGCCAATTCAAGATAAATTTGTCCGACTTGTAATAGAAAAATACAATAGAAAGGGTGATCCGATGTATCATCTGTGCGAGTACTTGACACAAATAATGTCGAATAAGGTGAGTCCCAAACTCAAATGACAGGCTTCCATTTGACATTGGATGGACCTGCCAAGTAGTGGTATAATAAGGTGTCATTAGGCTCGATTAGGAGCTGGCCATAGTTGAAGTAGGCATTCCCGGGCCTTTCATTGGAAGCAGGATGGGATAGACATCGGCCACAAGATTGAACTATATGAGGCAGGAGGAATGAAAGTCTTTTAAAAGCTACTTCGTACGATTTAGTACTGAATTGGTTGCTTGCGATGAAAAGGCTAGGGACACATTATAGTTAATGGAAACTCCTTTCTGATGGGATGTCTACAATTAAAATCCAACCTCCTACCATCAGCTCGTAAATCTAATATAGAACGAGATCTAGATGGAGGATATCATTGAAAATCGAAAGAAGATAGAGCAAATTCGAGCTCTCAAGGGAAAAGCCTCGACATTTGCATCCAGACTGCTGAAAATGTAGTACCTGCATTTCGACGTGCCCAAGGGCAAAGTGCATCCGATCTCTTTTAGTCCTCTTGTAGATTACAGATGAAACAAATCCATCCCCTGAAAATCAGAAAGCGAAGTTCTGCAAAATCCATCGCATTAGGGACCATAACATGGATGAGTGCTTTGAGAATGTCCCACACTCCCGACCTCCAATAAGAGAAATCTATACTACAATTGGGGGCCCCTACATTGGCGAAAAGACAATGAATGCCAAGAAAAACTATGCTCGAGCAACTAAAAAGCCCACATTGGAGAATTTTGAGATTCGAGGTAATCCACATCTCTTCCAATTACGTTTAATAATTATGATGAACATGGAATCATATATCTCTACTGTGATGCATTGGTAGTGTGAGCAGTAATAGCTAACAATATGCCTGTGGATAATGGTAACTCTGTAAATATTCTGTTTGGAAGTACTTTTGATCATATGCATGTTGATTACCCTTGGGGTACTATGGTCAAACCCTTGAACGGTTTCACTGGCGACAGCTTAGTCCCAAGGGGACATGTTACTTTAACATTCAGTTGGGGAAAGAGCAAACTATATTCTAGGGATATATGAACTTTCTGATCATGCATAGTAGATCCGCTTATAACATAATTATAGGGAAGCGGCTATGCACAAATTCTATCCCAGCTCCTTGAGGAAAGAAGCCTCATTTAATACCACACCGATGGTAGAAAGCAAGGACATACTTGAAAATTTTTGTTTGGGAAAGCTAGTATTCAATACCGTGAAGTGTAAGTCGAAAAACTAACCTTCCAGTAAGGATAACCTCACAAGTACTAGGGAAAGTATGAATATTGAAACTGTCAAACCAAGAATGGACCTAAAGCAAGGTCACAATAGTGAGAACTCAGATGAGAGCACAAGAAGGATGAAAGGTGAGCCTCTTTTCACCTATAGTAAAATTTTGATCAAAAGCGAGTCTGTTTTTGCCTACAACAAAATTCTAACCAAAGGCGAGGTCCATTCCTTCAAGAAATACGGAGACTAAATTACACCCCTAAAAGTCAACTATGAAGGGTGAATCTACCCACATGAAATTTTGATGTCATGACAAAAAATCATTGTAACTACGCACGAGATACTTGTATAGCGAAAAGTTATGACAAAAGTCATGATCGTGATCATTTGTTCTTTTTCAGTTGAAATGAATATTGAATGAATTGTAATCTTTTGCAAGTTATATATTTAACATAAGGAATTGATTAAATACGCTTACACGAAGTATGATTAAAAGCCAAACCAATAAATTAATGCGAGCTTGAATAAATAAGTGTTTCCACACACATAAGAATCAATAAAGTACCATTACAATAAGGAAATGAGACTTTAATAAATTATTTCTCCAAATTAAAAGCTACGCCCTATTGGTTAATTTGAAAATTACCCTTAGAGGGACATTTGCTTCGGAGGAAGTAAGATGACCAAGAGTAGGATTGTTGGCTAGGTCAGTAATAGCAGCAACCTAACTTGGAGGAATAGCATGAGAATCCGTGGGCAGGGGAGGTTCGACAGAAACGGGTAGAATATTAAGAGCATCGAAGGCCAATAGAGGAACATCGTGGATAAGTTATCTTCAACATCTTCACGGGCCTCCAAAAAATCCATATTCCATTCAGGATTAAAGCACCTAATAATGTCAAGAATCTTATCACTCATTTCCTGCATGGCTTCTTCGATAAGCTTGGTCTTATGATCATTCTCCCCAACAATGTTTTACTCTGCAATAGTAAGCTTTGTCTATCAACTTTCCAATTCACAACGATGTAAAATCATTTTATTCCTTGCACTCTCAAGATCTCTGACGATAAGGAATTGCTCAACATTTGCCATTTGAAGCTGTTCCTTAATCCTGGGAACCTCACGATCGACCATCGAAGCATAGGCTTGATGGTTCAACTTAGCCTGCTCCAAGTCTTTATGACCCTCTTGATATCGGCTAACAAAGTAGCCTCCTTATTAGC